TTTTTAGTATTGTTTTAAATTTTGGATGTTTTATGTGTTTTAGATATATTTATAGTTTTAACATCTTTGTAAGCCGCCCAAAGTCCCCTATTGTGGGGGAGATGGGCGGTGGAGAAATCCAATAAATAAAAATAAAATAAATAAAAATAAATGAAGATTGGCAGCTATTACAAGCAGGCAAGAAGACTATCATTCAACTGCCAGGACCACAAGTTATAGTGAGCAGCATATACTGGTGGGAATCCTGCCTGGAGCTGTGCTGGGAGCTCAGTAGCAACTAGAACCACCACACTGAAGCAGCACCTCGCCCCAACTATAGTAAGAACGTTTGGAAGGAGGCAAAGGTGGTATGCCACTTTACAGACTTTTGCTTGAACTAAGTATTAAAAGACTGAATATTAAAGACATATTTACACAGCAACATCACCTTGCAAGTCCTAGAAGGGTAGATAGCAATAGTCTGCTGTTGGGGGAGGTGTGCGCTGTAATAAAGCATTGTGTACAGATTTGCTACACTGTGGTGTGTCCAGTCCTTGGAAAGCAACCCCCACAGAGTTACAGGATAACTGCAGAAAAATCAAATGCTATGTTTATCTTCCCTGGAAAACGTACAGCAATATTCACATCTTCATCCTGAGGTTAAGCTGAAGCTGGATTACAATGAACACAATTACCAGTTTCCACCAAAAATAATGTGGAACATTCTGCACTTTTTCTCCCAGAGAGGCCATCAGATGTTACTTGCCAAGAGATATGCTGGATTTCTTCAGAAAGGACCATATTCTATCTAAAAGATGCATTTACTATCCATGACATCAAGGCCTTTAACTTTCACAGTACAAGGGCTTGAAATGTTTTTCAACAGCTTTGTCCTGCGTAGTTTGCAGTGATTTTCGAGTTGCCTGAGGAGATGGTACATGGTGAATTCCTGCAGTTTTGACTAGCTGTGCCTACCTAACCTAATTTGGCTTGTCTAGTCCCGAGAGGAATGCATGCCAAGGGGGCAAGCAGCAACATCTGCAGCAAACCACAATGATGCCAAAATGACACATGGTAGCCTTTGTGTGATGCCATCAGGCATATTTTGTCATTTGCCCGCCCTTGCAGGTGCCCAGAGGGGGTTGGGAATGAGTTCAAACGGCTGTCATTTGCATGTAGGTCAAAAGCAGAGTGGAGCAGAGATGGAAAATGGTTTCTGGGTGTTGCTTGCTATGCCTCACTCCCCATCACCAGGTCCTGAGTTGGCAGGCTGAGTTCCCTTTCCATTTTGGGGGCCTGCAGTCCATGCCAGGCCCATCTGACACAAGGTAGCTCCACCACCACTCAACGTTCGCAGACAGGTAGCCTGGCAGTTCCTGCCCAGGGTCCCTGGCACACTGGTGCCTTTCAAAGGAGCAAAGCCAATTGTCCTGCCAGGAAACTGGATTTGGCACCAAGGTGGGGCTGCCCAAAGAGAGATCCTGTTGCAACACTGTTCAATGCCCAACAGCACTTTCCCTGCTCAGCTGGTAGAGGCCACGAGGCGCAGGATAGCTTTCCGTTTTCCAGGCTGCCCTCCAACTGCAGGGATGCAACTCCCATCATGCCTAGTTATGGGTTGGGGGTTATGGAAGCTAAAGTCCAAGTCCAGCCCCAACCTATGGCCAATCTTGATCAGTGTTTCTCAACCTTGGCAACTTTAAGGTGGGTGGACTTCAACTCCCAGAATTCCCCTGCCAGAGTTGAAGTCCACCCAC